ATACAAACCTGGAAACCCAGTAATACCAACAATATCACCACGCTTAACACTAGAATGGAACTTAGAAAATTCAGATTCATCCAGCTCTGATTTTCTGCATGAAAAACGAAGTCCTTGTAAAATTGACAAACTAAATAAACCCAAGAAAGGGGATGTACTAATATAACTCAACCACATCTAATGAGAAGCAAAAAGCTTGCATCTACCTAAGCAGGGATAAATCCAGAATTTCCATGGGAATCGCAATCCAGCAATCCTTTAAGACAATGATCAGATTTCTAATTTATGCAAGACTAATTTCACTATATCATGTGATCACAGAATTTCAATTTCATGGAATTGGGAAATTAGATGGAAGACAACTAGAAGAGAAAGGATGGATAGAATCAGGGGCTATTATTTGCACACAAAAATAAGTATTTGACATTAAATGCAATGGCAGAAAAAGTGGCTGATTATATTGTCCTAGCTACTACATTTTGATGTATTATATTCATTTAACACATGAAAAGAAACGCAGAATTAGAGATGAAGATAGTAAGCCACACAAGTCCTTTATTGACCAAACTACCAAATGTCCAACAACACTTGATAGAGCATAATCAACAAACCATCACTTTTTGTAGCCAAGTTAAATTTTCCATATAGTAATGACAAAGCTGAAACAAGTTTACCATTTCTTTCATTTCTTACAGGACTACAAAACAAGATACTGGGGAAAAAAGAGAGAAGAATAAGAAGAAAGTGAATATTCAATGTGGTCGTAACTAAAAGAGTGTAATTGGACAATAACACAAACATAAAACTGTCTTAAAATTGACATTCATCCTTCTGCATTGAAATTCTTTATTTTTCATTAAGTTTAATCTCACATAATATTGTCTTAAAAAGAACATTCATCCTGTTGCTAATTAATCAATTAGTTATTGAACAGCATCAGATAGTTTGTAGTTTTTAGTCCTTCAGAGTTCTAACAAAGAGAATTAAAAAACACACTGGCCTCCAACTAAGAGAGCATATTTCCCAATTGGTAAACCACACTTCAACAAAAAGAGGAAAAGAACTGTTAGAAATGCACAAAGAATAGGAGCTAGAACAGTTTTATACCTTAAATCAGCCATCACTTGGACCTTCTCACCATCAGGTCCTCCACCATGTAAGTCATAAAAGAAAAGTTTTGAGCTAGACGATCTTTTACTCATGATTCGCCCTTGCATAGGAGTAAATTATTCAAATCAGCCAAACTAAAATGAAAGTGACGGATGATACCATATAAATATTAGCCCATAAATTTATATACCAGCCAATGAAACACTGATATCCTCAAGATGCTCCCCATCGCTTAAGCCTGCATACTTCTCTACACATTCGCACACGGTGATTGAACAAGAGAATTTGTGAGGATATGGATTTTTATCTACCTTCTGGGTAGCAAGATACTTCAGTCTGTTTTCATAGTATTGCTGCAAAAGAACAAATAGTCACGATGCTCAGGTCATAATTAGGTAAGATTTGAATTCACACCAAAGATTTAGATGGAAAAACTATATTACAACACAAATTAGAAAGTACCGTTGGATCCATTTCGTCATCTTCAGTTGCTACATCTTTCTTAACTTGCGAGCTTGCCACGGCAGCAGCCTGCAAGATAATATCAAATTTATTTCATATAAAGATTCCATAATCAAATACGGTAAGCAATCTCCTAGACAATAAGCAATTACACACTATCATTCAAGTGTATCCAGATTTCAGGTGACAATTTAGTACCAATTCACACTAAACATATTGATTTTATGTATCAACAAAACACCAAATATATTTGGGTTAATGAGAAACCAAAACTTATATAGGCAACAAATGTATCAGATTGATTAGCATAGCATTAATGCAAATTCGTGAAAAAAGTAAAAAAAAAACATTATGCTGTATCATGACTTTGCGTATCAACTCATTTCCAGGGTCAAAAATTGATTTTATGAAACAAATTAATAACCAAAACATACTGAATAACCGCAAAAAACACTACTTGCGTAAAACTAGATAAAATACTTGGTCAAATTCGGATAAGAAAACCGATTATGATGTTCACGCCCATTATCTATCAACATACGTGACGGAACCCGCCATCACTCTATAACCAAAGAAAGAAATAACAGCATTGTAAGACAATAGGTACCTGCTTGGCCTTCTCCTCCTCTTTCCGGCGCCTTTCTTCTTCCCTTTGCTTGTTCTTCAACTCCTTCTTCCGTGCACTGTAAGCACCCCACAAAAAATTCAACACAATCAAAACCAAGAAATAAAAATTAACAGCTTTCGCAGCTAAAACACAAAACCATTTGGACTAAAAACAAAATAAAAAATAAACATGGCCGGAATTGGATATCTTTAATCGGTTCACACGCAATCTTTTATTTTCCCAGGAACCAAACAGGGGTTAATCGGGACGTACTTTTTGCTCATAGCTCCTTCCGATTCCAATGTCAAATCTGCGACCGCTTTCGCCGTTTTTTCGGGTGTGCCTGCCATTGTAGCGATTCAGTACTAGAGCGGGGAGCGTTGAGTGAGAGGAGGCTTTTCTGGGGTTTTTGTGTGGCAATGGATGTGGAAGCTAGCTAGGGTTTGCAAATGGGTATTAAAACATTTGAATCCGTTATAGGCCGGTCGGGTCGGGATTAGGATAGGCAATCTTACCTAATTTATCCATAATCGTTTATGTTCATGCCTACATAATCGTTTACCTGTTGGTTAATTGCCTAAACGGTTATATACATACTCATAATCTTTTATAAATGGTTAACCATATCCATATTTGCATACTCATTTAACTACAATCGCTTAATACCTATTTATCATTTTTAACCCGTTTATCTTTTTTTTTTTTTACCATTATCCCTTTTCACCCGTTTATATGTTTTTTAACAACTTGAAAATTAAAAAAAAAATTGTCCATAATTTTCTTTTTTTTGACAATTAAACACCGTTATAGTTACATTCATCATACATTTCAGTATTTTAATTTTTGAAGTCCTTATATCATTCTAATAATTGAAATAATAGTTTACGAACGATATTTTTAACTGTTACCAATGAAGGTAATATAATATTTGCTAAGTATTCTTGGGTTACGAAAACTGTTTAGAAGACAGTATTCTTGGGTTATTTAACCCATAATGTAAGGTATTAACATAATATATATAATGAGCTACATTATATTATAATTAGCTATATAAACCATGCACTATAGTCAATAGCATTGATGTAAGTTTTGTCTGATAAAGAACATGGTTTGTGTTAATTTTACGTGTTAGAGTTATGTAAAAATATAGAGAATAATCTAAATGATGACTTTGAGGTACGCCTTGAATTGTTTCCTTAAAGTGTTATTTACCCCCACTCGAATGAGTTTGCTAAAGGGTTCTTGGCAAATCACTTTCAGGATACAACAAAGTATGGAATATTCGATTAGCAAAACCGAATTGTATTCCCTTAGAAATAACTAGAAAGAAATTGTATGAACATGATAGAGAGAGAAGAGAGAGCAAAGAAATTATGTATACAACAAATTTCTAAATGATTTTCTCTTCTTCCAATGTTATCAATATATAGAGAGAATTGCACATGATTAAGTTAATTACAAATACATAACTTTTGAAGTCATATTAGTTCTAGAGGTCATGTCTGTTTGAACATATACAAAGTATTATCCAAAAGACATTTTAACGAGTATGCCTGATGGAGAGCACCAATAACCTAAAGGCCATATTTGTTAGGAGAAGGATTACACTTGTTGACCATGAATCATGTCTTTTCGGCAACAATCAAAAGATGCAGCATTCAAATTGAAGAGATGTGATTGTTGGGTTAATAACACAACTTCCCATCCCATATCAAACAGCCCCATATATATAATTTTATTTTTAAAATATTAAACATTACATATATAAAATAAATGGGTAAACAGTTACCCGTTTATAATCGCGGTTAATACTCATAACTACCCATTTAAATTTCACTGGTAAACGGTTATACCCATAACCGTTTATTTATCTAAACGGTTACCAATAACCATAACCGTGAAGTTTAAATGGGTGGGTAACCATGGTTACCCATAACCCTGGGTATTTTGCCCATCCCTAGTCGAGATAAGGTCGGGTCTGTGATGGGTTAGTGTCAATACCTTCCTTTATATTGGGTCAATGATGCACTCATTTTTCCTTCTCTCTTTCCGAACTTGCCGTCCAAAGTTTCACTTTTGAATATTTTGTTTTTTAGGTGGACCTTTCGATCAAGGTTGGAAAATATGTTATACGCTAGTCAGATGGCGAGTTTGAGCTTTTTGTATTGAGAATTTGAAAAAGTCAAAACATAAAACTTAAGCAATCGTGACATTGCCATCATCACAATCTAATACAGCAAAAATAAGAAAAACCCAAAACTAGAAAACCAAATTCAAAAGTTTACTAATTCATATACGGGTTCTTTTTTAATAAGTTACCCAAAACACCCTTTAACTTAATTAAAAAAAAATTAAAAACAATGGAAACATGTAACAACTAGTCCTTAATTTTACGATTTTATTAATTTTAAAGGAGTGAATGGACGAAAATACCCTTAGAGGCGAGATTGTTGACTTTCATTGACTAGCATTTCAAGACGCGTATGAGCTATTATTTTACCCCTAACCTCGAGGTAATCAAAGGTACGAACGAATAGGCATAGACGGAATCGAATTTGAAGTCACGATGAAGATCTTACGGAACTTTGAATCCGAAAAATACTTTTGTGAAAATTACTATTTTATATTTTATATTTTTATATTATTATTTTAATATTTCTGATTTGCTATTTTAAATATTTTAATAATTTATTTTTGGCTATGGAGCCCACACATCTCAAAACTCTCCACTCTCTCTTTGCCGTGTGTATCTTATCCTTCTTCCCTCAATCTCTCTCGTCCCTGTAATCTTTCTCAGTTCTTTATTACCCTATCACTCACCCTCCCTCTCTGAGAACCACAACATACCACCAGCGCCACATCGTCGTCACTCTGGCGAGCACCATCACAAACCCCACCTGACCACCTATGTCAGGAACTTAGAACCCTGGACTGGACACCCTCTCTCTCCACAGTGGCGCTGCCACTATTCACAAAAATTCCTCCGGTGAGTTCTCATCGTCCCCAGCAAAGGTAAGTCCCCAAAACCCCCCAAGATCTTCATAGATCGTGCTTAGGAGTACAATTAAGATGTTTTTAAGAAGTTTTAGTGTTGTTTGGATGCAGAAATACCACAGGAAAACTTCCCCAATTTTCCGGTGAAGGACCCATGTGTTTGCATGCTATTTCCAGCCAACTTCGGCCACGACCCAGCCTTTTTTTGGTACGAATCTCTTCTCCTCACTCGAAGCTTCATTTCCATAGGTTGAACGTCAATTTTGGTTAAGAATCGAGCTTGAACAAAGCTCATGAAGTTTCTTGGCCAAACTCGGCCCAATCCGGCCTTCTTCTTCGTTGGGTCCTATAACATCTCACATCGACCAACAGAGACGGGATGATGTGCCTTATATGTACATGCCCACCTCCATATAGCATGAGGCCTTTTAGGAACTCACTGGTTTCGGGTTCCATTGGAACTCCGAAGTTAAGCGAGTTCGAGCAAGAGCTCTCCTAGGATGGGTGACCCATTGGGAAGTTCTCGTCTGAGTTCCCAGAAACAAAACCGTGAGGGAATGGTAAGCCCAAAACGGACAATATCGTGCTACGGCGGAGTCGAACTGGGATGTGACATAATGGTATCAGAGCCACTCTGTCGTTCTGTGCGAGTGTGCCGACAAGGACGTCGGGCCCCTAAGGGTGGTGGATTGTAACATCCCACATCAACCAACGAAGTGGGGGTGATGTGCCTTATATGTACATGCCCACATTCATATAGCACGAGGCTTTTTGGGAACTCACTGGCTTCGGATTCCATCGGAACTCTGAAGTTAAGCGAGTTCAGGCGAGAGCATTCCTAGGATAGGTGACCCGCTGGGAAGTTCTCGTGTGAGTTCCCAGAAACACCTCTGTGAGGTACCGTTTGGTACATGGGACTGGACGGAACGAAGTGGGATGAGGCATTCCGTCCGATGTTTGTGCGCCTAAAACGGGTGGAACGCGCTGTTCCACATGATGAATTTTGGGTGAATTTTCGTTCCGCCTCACCCCCTGGAACGACTCGTTCCACATCCATAGAACACAAAATTATAACCTTTCCGTCTCCTTCTCATTCCTCCTTGTTTCCATCCGAGGGCATCTTTGCTCCCTTTCCATTCCATCCCGTCCTGTCCCTTCCCGTCTCGTCTTGTATGCATACCAAACGATACCTGAGGGAATGGTAAGCTCAAATGTGACAATATCGTGCTACGGTGGAGTCGAACTGGGATGTGACAGGTCCAGCCGACCCGCAAGCCCAAACGGGTCAACCCAACCCAGGAGGAAAAAAAGGCCTAAGCCTAAACCTGGCCCAAGCCTGACCCAGTTCCGAAATGGGCTCAAAATATTCTTGGAATATTCCCTAGAATATTCCTAAAATATTCCCTGAAATTTGAAATTTTCTCGGAAACCCTCATATGTTAATTTCGATGCCTCAAGTCTATTTTTCACATCTATTTAGTGAAACTTTGAAGTTTTAACATAGTTGACTGGCTTGGCGTCTCGGTTGACTTTTTGAGTTGACCATTGACTTTCCCGTTGACGTTTTACTAAATTTGCCCGAAACCTCTCTTAGGGTAATTCGACTCCTGGTTCCAAATCCGCACTCCATTTTCCCAAATTCAATCATTTTAGTACGATTTTACTAATTATTCCCTTTATGTGCTTAGGTGCTTTTGTTAGTGGCGATCTTGTCCTCCCTAGTTCGAATGGCTCTTCGGCGACGGAGTATTTGTGAGTGGACCCCTTCTTAAATTGCATGATTCTTTATTAAATGCTAGGCTTGCATTCATGAAAACATGATTTCATGATTTTACATTTTATGCATTATTTATGATTTATTGAATTTACGTTTTATGAAACGTTATCAATTAATGGATTTACGCTTACGAAATATTACGAATTTACAAATATGTTTTATTATGACTTTGTGAATATGGTTTATGATAATAATTTGAGCTAGAACGCTCCTATGGATTTATGATGTGATGCTTTGAGCTTTTGAGCTCCGATGATTTGATATGAGAAATGTGATTTATGTTTTATGTGCTTGCTTAGTGGGTAATCATACAACACATACACACAACCTGGTATGTATATGTCTATGGCCATAGGACAGTTGATGAGTAGTGAGATATTTATGACATACTCCCAGCTTCACTGGCGAAACTAGTGTCAGACAACTTCACTAGCCACGGCTAATGTCAGTGTGTTATGTTATGTTTCTTCTCTGGCGTAACCCAGAGTTGTACAACTTCACCTTCGGGTGATGGGACCTACCATATTTTTTCACTGGCGTAACCCAGTGTCGTACAGCTTCACCCTCGAGTGATGATTATGCCTTCAGGAAACTATGATACCCCTAGTTGAGTACTTTATTATTTTGGATTTACGAAGGTTTTATGGATTTGCCTTTAGGCGACTATGTTATCATTACTGAGCATTGTTTTATACATACACGTTTTAGATGTTTTCATGGCACGTTAGGGTTTTCAGAAAAATCTAGTACGTGGTATTATATATATGTGTTTTCAAAATAGGGGTTTAGTATGTTCAAAAGAAAAATGGTTTTACTTAGTATTGTTATTATAAACTTTGGTCCACTCACCCTTTTGTTTTGTGCCCCCTTTAAGACTTAGAATCGAGGCGACGTTAAGGCACACTCGTATCAGTAGCTTCAAGTTCCCCTCTCGGTGTAGGATCCACTTTCTTTGTAATCTCATTATTTTATAATATTCCTTTCATACTATTCTTGATTAGTTGTATGCTCTGAGTGTCAAACCGCCTTGCCCACCTAGGTAGCTTCCTAACCCCTACCCGATTTTTCTCCACATATTGGCTTAAATCACATCGATCTTCCACCACCTAGGCGGATTGTTAGAACATTGCCTATGAATTATTTCCTATGCAAGTTTTTATTTTGGCAAATTTTGGTCTTCTGCTTATACTATTGTTTTTTTTTTGTTGCGTAATTATTGTATTACTTGTTTACCTAAAGTCATTTTTTAGTTTACAAAAATACTATTAGGTTCTTGACATTTATCGCCTAGCCCAAAATTGACCATACAAGTTGAGTCTATTGTCTGATACTTCTAGGCGAATAAAAGATGGGAAATTTTATTTGAACTCATGTAACATCTTTCTATACCCAACTTACTCTCTACATCTATATTATTTTTTATTAAAGAATTAATATCTCTTTAAACCCAAATTTTTTACCTAAACTACCTTCTTAAATCCAATTCAAAATGTAAATTTATCTTTACACCCAATTATAAATAAAATCTCTAATTGAATAATATTTTTTCAAAGAAGCTCGAAAATAAAAACATTACGCATCCTTAGCGCCCCCCTCCTCCTAGCATCTTCTATGGCTACTGTTTTTTTTGCTACAAAACCAAGATATTTGCTCTCTTTACAAACCAAGACACAGGTTCTCTCTCTCAACCAAACCAGTTACTTGGGTTGCTATCAACACCACCACAATAAATAACCCCCATCACCTTCTCTTATCAAACCAACTTTCCTCTCTGCAAATTTTTGTTCTTTCGAAAAAGAACAACTCCACTGTTAATGTAAGTTGTCATTGTTTGCCTGATCAATTGTTTTCTCAAAAATTTGAAGCACTCCTAGTTTTGGAACTAATTATCTGGGATTAAGCAATTCATCTTTTCCTTACTTTCTGATCAATTTGTTTCTACAATTTGTTGGATTATAATCAATGAGCTAATTGATCGTTTAAATGGCTGAAGAAGTTAATTGTAAATTCTAATGAGAAGCTACAACCATTAGAAGCTGCAAAACTAAGTGCTTACAGATGCAAGTATAAGAAGAGCCATAAGACCAACCAAACCAGCACGACAACAAATTGTCAAACAAGCACGGTAACAAATTGACAAACAAGCATGGCAACAAATCGAATCATACCTTAGTTAGAGAAATTAAAACTTCAAAATCATCATCCATCGATAAAAAAACTTATTTTTCTCTATAAGAGCTACTAGGATTTTAGCTAAAATGAACGTAGGATAACAAGGAGTGATGTATGGTTTAATTATAGTAGGTGGGTTTATTGATACATTTTAGTTATATTTTTAATTCATCTTACATGGGTTTAAATAAAATTTCCTCCCATTATAACATTTTAAACCAATAACACGAGTCATGTAGAAAGGTGATTTTGTCGCTTATCTTTTAGAACTTGAACGTCCATGTTTCTCTTTTCTTCTTTCCTCCCTCTTAAGAATTACTTTGTATGCAAATTTTATTTCCAAAATTTTAAGTCTCATTATATTTATTTATTTTTGTTTGGAAATTGTTACGTTAGTATTTGTTTTTTTTAAGGGAAACTACTGGTAGCAAGCCAAGATTATCCACCATTTCTGAGCTCAAAGAGGCTTTTAGAAATTTCACTCTACTCGTGATCACAGTCAAGTAAACTCACCAACTCGGAGCATCGAACCCCGGACCTCCCACATTTTTTTGTTTATTAAGGAGCCACAGTCCACCCTCACCAATGGGTCACTTGATGTGGTTTACATTAGTATTTGTTTACCTAAAGTCATCTGTTAGTTTACAAAATTACTATTAGGTTCTTAACATTTTTGCAAGTTACTAACAAATTAATACATAGGAGAAATTTCACGTATGACTTTCTAGACGTGCTGGCCTCTGCAGCACAATCACACCAAATGTAGGCTAGGTTGTATTATGTTTCACCCACTTCAAATTGACTCCATAAGTTGAATTTATTGTTGCATACGTCTCGATGAATAGAAGAATTCCTCCTCCGGTATGCCGCCATAACATTATAAGTCAATAACGCGATGTCATCAATGGCGTAGAAGGTGGGATGTAGTCCATGGAGGTTTTCTATAAAGGTAGTGCTATCTATGCACTTATTTTTACTTCTCACACATCCCTCTCAATTTTCGGTTGTTCGAATCTAATGAGTTGGAGATGATCACTGACAAAAAATTAATAAGGCTGTATTCGAAGTAAAAATGGGTTTGTGAATAGAACTATTCTTTTTGTAAACTCATGCTTATAGCTTGCTCAATTTCAATAGAAATTATTATTTAATGTATATTTTATAGAGGATAGGTAATAAATAATACGTTTTATGCTAAAAATTATAAATTAGTTCTCTCTCCAATCTCTCTTTATCCTATTCTTTAAGGAAAAAGATCATTTACCCTATATAATTTAGCCTTTGTGCTTCTTACTCAAGAAAAGAAAAATAATTTCTTTAAATCCACAATTAAATCATTATCTCCGCAATTTCTTAATTTCCGTTGTGATTTTCCAATAAATGTCACCTTTGGTACTTTCTTAATCTCTTTATTATTTACTTATTCTTGATTTAATTAGTAGGTTAATTATTTATATGGTCCTTGAATTTATTGGTTAGGGTTATGATTTTGAGTAGTGTTCTAAAACATGGCCTAGGAGCTAGACGGCGGTGTTCCGCCATGATTATCCCGAAATCATTTACTAAATCGGCAAAGCTATTAGGTGGCGTAAGTCAGACACCTAGGCGGGCTAAATGGTCGTTGGGCAGGCTAGATGGAAGTTGGACGGTCTGGGTGGCCTGGGAAAATACGATTGCCTACCTAGAAGCAGGTAGACACTGGAAAACCTGGGCGCTATGTGTTTGACCGTCTACTCTAGGTGTGACGATGGTCTACGAGAGAGAGAGAGAGAGAGAGAGGGAGGGAGAGAGAGAGAGAGTGTGTGTGTGTGTGTGTGAGTGAATATGCAATTGCAGATATGGTGATAAGTAGACGGCTGCAATGGTTTTTGCTTAGCAGCTTAAGGTTTTTTTTTTTTTTTTGAAAGTGAATCAGTGATTGGGAATCGGGATGGCTAAATACAAGTGTATTTGGTTTTTTTTTTTTTATTCTAATAGATAATAAATGGATTAGATGACTTTGCGTTTTTTGTTAGGATCCATTATGCCCATCTATAATAGACTTAACAATTCTATTTAATGTTAAAACAAGGAATGCAAGGCCCAACTTGCATTTTATTTAGGGAACTTTAACGAAAAGCACCCGGTACTGTTCACTTTAATGAAAAACCACATTTTTACACTAAAAAGTCAATCCTGGTACTATTCACTTTACCCTTTATTTTGTCCTTATCATTAAAACTCAAAGTTTTCAAGCCCTTTTCATTAGTTTTCCTTTTTATTTATAGCCTTACAAAATGATACAAAACTAACAAAAAGAGTCTAAATTTTTACATATTTTCATACATATATTTTTTATCTTTTTAAGAAATAACATATTATTCAATGTTTATTTACATATTATATAGTAAATTTACTTAAATCCGCCTAGGCTGCCTAGACTCCCGCCTGGGCACCTAGGCGCCAGGCCCCAGTCCGCCGCTTGACTAGCGCTTAGCATTTTTTAAAACCTTGATTTTGAGAATAGTTTATATTATATTATTGTTCTTTTATATTGATTATTATATAAGTTTATATAAGAAAAAAATAAATAAACATATGATTTTATTGTACTATTTTCAGTTAGCCCACACAAAGAAAAAATCCTTAACTCCACCCTTGGATGTCATGTGATAAAGCTAAAACACAATTGCGCTAATTCGATAGAGATCTCTACACAATAGCAAATTAAGTGTACGTAAGTAAGCCCTTATCCTGATATGCATGCTTAAATTTTTTTGAAACTTTTCAAACTAATGTAGTTTAAAAATAGTCGGTTAGTACTACAATATGGTGGTATTCCTCTTCATTTGTTGTTATGTTACATCTCAGTCTCAACTCCGTCATAGCACGATATTGTCCACTTTGAGCTTACCATTCCCTTATGGATTTGTTTCTGGGAACTCAGACGAGAACTTCCTAGTGGGTCACCCATCCTAGGATTGCTCTCGCCTGAAGCTTAACTTTGGAGTTCTGATGGAATTTGAAGCCAATGAGTTCCCAAAAGGCCTCGTGCTATAGGGAGGGAACTATGTACATATAAGGCACATCACCCCTTCTCCGTTAGTCGATGTGGGATCTTACAATCTGCATCGAACGGCAGAGTGGCTCTGATACCATTCTGTCACATCTCAGTCTCAACTTTGGGCTTACCATTCCTCACGAATTTGTTTTTGGTAACTCAGACGAGAACTTTCCAATGGGTCACCCATCTTAGGATTGCTCTTGCCCTAACTCGCTTGACTTTGGAGTTCCGATGGAATCTGAAGCCAGTGAATTCCCAAAATGCCTTGTGCTATAAGAGGGAAGTATGTACATATAAGGCACATCACACCCTCTCTGTTGGTTGATGTAGGATCTCACATGTTACGTGTTGCATGACACTTGGTTTAACCTTGATAATTATCCTTGATAACGCTTTTGTCCCTATTGAGCTGTGGTTTCGCTCACCTTTTACATTTTAGACCTTGCAGGTTTGGTACAAGATAAATAAAAGGGTAGACGGGTTGAGGTTGTGTTAGACGGGAGATTTAAGGGTTTTATATATTTCTGCACACCTTGTAAAAGGAAGAGTTATATGTTCATTTTATTTTATTTCTACTGGTGCACTGGGCACAAGATTTATTTTTTTTTTCACCAACTCCGAGTCGGGGCCTAACAATATTGTATGTATTAAAACAAAGGAAAACTAATGAAAATGGCTTGAAAACTTTGAGTTTTAACGATAAGGACAAAATAAATGATAAAGTGAATAGTACCAAGATTGACTTTTTAGTGTTAAAATGTGGTTTTTCGTTAAAAGTGAACAGTACCAAGAGCTTTTCGTTAAAGTTCCCTTAAAACAATGAACCTTGAAATGACATTTCTCTAATTGGGCTACGATTCTTTTGCAACTTTTTACGATGGTTAGGATCTTCGTTGTCTGACTCTATCTTGTTGGGTTGTGAACTATTTTAGTACATATATGCAAAAGCGTGACGGGATGACACAAGCATAAAAAATCATATTAACATGCATAATTAGTGGAACATTGAATTCCGTTTAATCATATTAAACTAATCCACATGATCGTGATTAATCAATGTACTTGTGATCATGCAAAAATGAATGAAGAACACGTGCATGAACTTAGATTAGGTTTAGAACTCCAACATTAGATTTCATAAACGAACGGATTCATTGAGATTTCAATGTTCATTATACTTGCTTAAACTTCAATTTCAACCAAATATTCATAATATTTGCTTAAACTTCAATTTCAATCGATATGCAAAGGTCTTACGCCTCAAACTTTCCAGCTTTTCCCCGGAAACCAGGCCGGGACGGTGAAATAATGTACCAAGGAAATATCGGAGAGTACAATGTACGTTGAATAACCCAGCAACAGCGTTCGATTGTTACCCCCTAAGATTCCGAAAGCAACCTTTACTTTGACATAAGTTGCATCGTCATCTAACAAGCGGTATAAGTAGATACTCAGCGTAGAAAAGCTGCAAGAAGAAAAAAGAAAGAAATGAATAAAAAGTATGCCACATTGGAATTTAAACATACCAAAATGAAATCACAAACAAGTTGTGTACAATCCATAAAATCAACGCTAGCAAATGGCACGTTGAAACAAGTAAAGCTGGAAATCGGTCTTAGGTTGGAGTCTCCAGACGGAGTCCAACTTCCAGACCGCACAAACCAATGGTTCTTAGAGTTTTTGAGGGATTTTCTCATCTCCAAGAATATAGGCATTTGTTGTGCCTGAACAAAATTCGAGCCCTCGATAAAGATAAAGCATCCAACAAGCAATACTTGAAACAGCAGTATGAGGGCTTGAATTAGCGTGTGGAATGTTTGTAAGATGTTAACAGCAAAACTGATGAGGCAAATTAGGGTCACCTTTGGTTTTTGACATACTCTATTCCACTGCAATTGCATTCAAGTAGCAGTAGCAAGCATTTACCTTCCATATAAACATGTAAAAGGATGTGATTGCAGCTTTGCTGTTGAGATCGACAGATTTGGCTCTGTTCCACAGTACCAAAGCCAAAATTGTATGTCCCAAAACCTAAAACAATGCAAATACAGAATAAATCAATATCTGCGTTCTTGGCGCATTCTTCAGTTTCCAGTATCTGAACAAAGAGGTTATAGATGCACAAAACTCAATAGAAAGATGGGATTATGAAAACGCACTTAAGGTTCCCCAAAATATTATTAACTTCTCTTGAGAATATAGGAGCACCGCTTGTTCTCATGTAAAACCAAACACATGAAAAACTAATTCACATGCATACAATACAAACTGAAGTGGCCTCATATGACAGTTTAACACTTCATATGTTTGCATTTGAAAAGGAAGGCAATGAGTTAGAATCAGAAATTTAGAGTTAAAGAGCGATCGGTAGAATTTTAAGAACCCTTTACGTGGACACCTAAACTTCACAACATTACCAACTATTTCATAATAGCGAACGGCATGTGAAGGCAGAAAAGTACCAACTGAAAATAAATCATTAAATTCATGCTTTCCACTGCATTTATACGTTCTTCAGAGTTAAACGCGTATAATTCAAAAATTATAGAGAAAGGAGAAATTGTGCCATTCGGTAACCTAGAATAAGTGAAGATTGGTAACGCTCACTACTGTTCTCTTTAAATTTAGAAAACTGAAACATTACCGTGACGCATTTGCTCAACATGAAGCCCGATGATGCTCCCAATAAAACGGCAACACCATAAGCCATTTCAAGTAGCGAAATACAAATCCAAAAGACCTGCCCAAAGATAATTAGGATCAAAACTATATATGCTCGCTTACCACCATAAAAGTCCGAATACTTTACAGATGTACGAATACATGTATATCAGTGAAACTGTATATATGCGTGTATTAAAACTTAAAAGGCTACCCGCTTTTGTCCCATGCGTACTGTAAAAGACCGGATGCCGAATATTTTATCTCCATCAATATCAGGTATGTCCTACATGATTCCACGGTGTGAATAAAATCGATCATCATTTTTTTTTTTTTATCATAACTTCACGAAGTGAAATAATAGCAAATGCATAAATCTACTCGTGTTCTACTTGAAATGAACAAAAGAAAAGGTTTTACCTTAAATAATGCTATAACAACTGAGAAGAAGCTCATAAATGCAGTTGCAAAGATTAGTGGCCTCGAGAAGGCAGCTGGTCTTTTGTACACATGCATCTGGAAATCATTAGATAAATTAGAACTCAACCACTGAAAGAGCATCCAACTACATGACAGAGATGATCCGTTAACAGTATCTGTTGAGAGCAATCAATTATTATACTAACTACTTTATCCAAACAATTGCCCTTGCAACCGTCTTATGTGTGTGCACGCGCAGATATGTTTGTCCTACAAGCATTTCATCGGACACTGGCAACCATTGCTCAAGTGACAGATATCTTTCGATGATGTTATAGGTTGAAATTATAATAGCAAATGCCGCTCAATGTGGAAAATATATTGTGTAAATCAAGTATTTTCTGAGAGAATGAAACAATGGGAAGGTATTAATTGATTTCCTAATAGAAAATAACAAACCTGCATGTGCAGGAAAAAAGCAAGTTGGACTATCACTGCCCGAACAGCTAGGATACACATTGCAGCAACCACAGCAGACCTCTTCCATCTCAATAGTGGCAACTGCGATTATAAAAGACGGGTTCTGACTTATGCTTTAGTACAATCGCTAGATTTACATGGAAAAATTTTAGATACTAAAGTCCAGCCTTCCATATACTATGGAATAAAAACACTCTTAAACTAAATTTCATTCATCAAATTGGTTATCACGAGTGACATAAGCTTTCCTCATATAGATATTTAAGGAACGTCAATAAGATTACACATGAGCAAAAGCCAACTCACATTGATTGAATAAGCAGTTCCAAGTACAAAACTGACGAAAAGGGCCCAAAACAATGGCCATGAACCAACAACCCATCCAAGCCAAAAGCTCTGTAGAAAAGAATGGTTACGGTCAGAATGTTTTTCAGTCACAATATGATTACGCTTGATGTCTTAATTCTGATTTTGCATGTATATTAAGGTACTAGTAATTTGGTAGTATTCAGATGTCTGAAAAATCCGATGAAGTTTATTTCTTGCATGGAAACAATGACAATGCTGGCTACACAAATAGTTAGAGGAATAAGAAATAAAAACACTATCGAGAGCACTCGAATCCTTAACAATTTTAACCATAATAACTAAATTTCTAGTGAAGAACAGGAGGCAGTTTGCAAGCAAAAGTTAGGGAATCACATTACGGGCCCATTTGGTAATCTTATTTTCTTTGTGATTAAAGAGCAGGTGATGAAGAAGATGAAAGACGAGAGATGCAAAGCATAAAGGAAGAAGGATAATATAGTGGCTTTCAAAATAAAATCTAATAACAATTTTAAATGGTCTTCAGTTTTTAGTTTTAATTTTTTCTAATCCAAACATTGCCTTTGATACCATAATTAGAAAAGATGTCACAATCATGATGCCGGTTCCAACTGAATATTCCCCAGATGCCAACGGAAGATAAGGCTTGTTAACCTGCAACATACCATAAAATACAAGTATACAATTAGACAATTCACATATGCTCCAGTAAATAATCTTTTTGTTCATGACTTCCAAGAATATAAGCCAAATAATCCAAAGTGGCGCTTAATAAATTGAGCACAACTTGGTAATTGGTAACGTTTGAACATCCGTGAGTGTAGTGAGGGAAGCTTGAAATAATGGCTTAGTAGGCAGCTTGATAACTCTAGATAAAAGAACCTATCCTGGAATTCTACATGTAGAACCATCCTAATGGAATGCCCCCTTAAGATTCAAAAAGGCGACATAATTTACAATTCTTATTCCCCAATCATTGCAATTCTACCAGTAAACTCACAAAACCTACCTTGTCTATATCGATGTCAGACAACTGATTCAACCCAACAATGTAAATATTCATAAAGAAAGCAGCAACTACAGCCTGAAAATAAAACAACGAAGCATGTAAGAATAGCAATGACAACTGTACCCATGTAATCATTTAAGATTATCAACATCTATTAGAGGCATCACCTCCAGCACCCCTGTGAAAAATAATGGAGACAAATCTGACAGATTCTTGACTGCAAGGAGAGAAACTGAAATTATGCTCAATGCCTGTTTAGAGAAAAAAATAGGTCAGGTCTCTCTAAATCGATTTGAAAAAGTAAAGGAAAGGACAATAAAATAACAGTAATGATCCTAACTAATCTCAAGCACATATTAGTGGAGTTATATATCAAAAAGCTAAATTGGACAATGTCAAGATTGGTGATGATGATTCTGTCCCAAACTTAACTGTGCCTATAACTGTGTGCGGCCTTGAAAACCTGTAAAAAGCATCTATGGCATTTTTGATAGAGTTCCATATGCTTTTCGGATTATAGGCTTCAGGTTCAGATTCAAGAGGGTTGCCTGCAGTAGCATTCACCAAGAACTTTTTATCATGCCCCCTGTAGAATTTAGACTTTTCCTTAGTGCCTCCGGTATTTCGCTGAAAAAGATGTTGCTGAGATCCAACACCACAGTAACTTTCTAGGATATCCCATGCTCTGCACCTTGAAACTCTGACTGCTACATATGAACCTATAAGAACAAAGATCCGGGTTCCAGTAAGTTTCAATATTGAGAAAGGCAAATCATACATCAGTTTTAATATCAAATGAGAATTTGAAGCTTACTGTCTTACCGTTTCTTAAATTTCGATAAGCTAATAATAAGAGTAGATTGCACAATACATTGCTAAGTGAAGCGCCATATCAAATAATGCACAATATTCTGATTAACAGATGCTCCGGTTAGAAGATGTGATTACGAGACCTATAGACGCTCCAGTTAGAAGACCTACAGACACTCCGGTTAGAAGATATGATTACGAGACAGACGCTCAGGGCCAAAAGGGTAGAGCAAGACCTAGGAAGACCTGGACAGAGACTTTAAGAAAAGGCTTGGACTACTTGGATGTTGGATCTAACGGAAGACATGGCACAAAATAGAGCGCAATGGCATTCTAGGATTCATATAGCCGACCCCATTTAGTGGGATAAGACTTTGTTGTTGTTGTATTTGTTATTTTGATTAATAGATTTTGTGAGACAAAAATTCTTTCATATAAGAAAACATGAATCAGTAGGCCCACTGTGAATTACAGTACGCTTCTTATCCACATTATAAATCAGAATCCTAAACTAATGAGTTGTTATCTTGGAACTTGAGATGTAAGCCAGTACACTTTGAGCTAATTCTTTGAATAAAAACATCCATCACTACCTTGCTGTTAAAAACTTCCACCATGTGTAATCCCAACTAAGATATAAAGACTAAGAAGCCCAAACACATACAATGGAAAGTGAATAAAACAGTAAAGAAAGCTCTCTTACAGATCTCAATGTGCAGATTCAGCAACGCTGCATGGTTAGCTACAAACATTGATGACTATAATGTCTTGAAATAGTACTATCAGTATTTAAACAGCAATCACACTAAGCTTAAATTAAATACTATGCTCATATCCAGCATATGTTTGTATACAGCATACATGGAATCACAATACGAAATTTTTATTGCTCGAAAGTCAAAAGGGAGAATCAGACGTCGTGATGGGACCAGTCATACCTGAAAAGCAGTTCTTGTGGAGATTATCCCTTCTCCAAATGTTCCCACCTATGAATTTTTATAATGCATCAGAATTCACATTAAGCAGTCCAATTAGCAGGAATAAACTCACAACTAAACAATGAGTGCCCGTTTAATAACCATTTCGTTTTTTTTTGTTGTCGGTTTTCACTTTTTGTTCTATAGATAGTATAAAAGAATGTGGGAGAAAGGAGGAACCAAAAAAGGTGAAGGAAGGAAAATGACAAGAAAAAGTGAAAACTAAAAACCAAAAGCTGAAAAGAATTGTTAAGTTCTTTTTATTTTTGAGCTTCTGTTTTCATATGAGCTCCTTCATTTTTCCTTCCCCATTCCTCATTTCGCTCATATACCATCTCTATCTCTAGCAAAAGGAAAATAAAAACTAAAAAGTTTAAACGAAATGGTTATCAAATCTGCCCTAAAATACCAAATTCAATTCCATAAATGGTACAAGCAAAGGTAGAGTCAACTCAACCTAGTCACATCTTGAAATAACAACAAAAAGTAAAGAAGAAAAATTTTAAATTTAAGAAAACCCAGCCGAATAATTGTAAATTATTTCAGTCTGCTGATTCTAAAGACTAAAAAGAAGGAATCTTTGAACAGACAAAGATTTTCCCAGATAATAAGTACCTACAATACCACAAAATAGAATAAAAAATTAAAAAAATTAAAAAAAAAAAACAAAAACCAGCATTTGAAGCATCTGAAACAGTTACTAATTTCAGAGGAAATAAACAAATAAAGACATAATCAGAGACCTTAATAAATCAAGAACAAGAGAAAGCCAGAGAAAGAAATGAATATTTTCTGTAAAACTGATATCACAATACCCAAAGATGCTTTGGAGAAGGACCCAACAAGCGCAGAGTCCATGTGCTTCAGCCAACAAAGAAATCGATGCTTCAGTTCAACTGAGACCACTGTGAAAACTCACTGCCCTTAAGTAAGCACTCAGGAGAGGGAGAGAGGGAGAGTTACGTAATTAAAATGTAACCAGTGAGGTTATTTGATACCATAAACAATGAAATGGATGCGACATGCGAGTCCATTGTCCACGCGGGTACCAGTGGTCCAGTGTCCTTCAATTTGACCATGTGCCCTTCAATTTGTCCAGGCGGGTACCAGTGCCTTTCAACGTTCAATTTGACGTGCAGTGCAGTGCAAATTGCAATTCAGAAGCCCGTAAATGCTTGGGACCTTCGCTTCTGACATGCTGTAGGGTCGAACCTTGCAAACTCAACTGCTCATTACCTTACCAAAAATATCTGGACCAACAAAGCAAACTCTGACGGCGCTAGTAGGTAGTTGAATGTTGTTGTTAGCCTTATAAAGTTTGATTCAAAATCCAACTCAAAACATACCCCACCCATTCTAGGTTACTATATTAATCTCCACTTATAAGAAATGATCTTTCGTACGATTCTCGTCAAAGATGAATTTGAACCATATTATTGCTAACTCATTGTGAGGCTAAGCATACTCTCCCCCCTTAATGTAGACAATATTGTCTGTTAAAAGAAAATGGAATAAATTACTGAGAGATTATGTTTAATTATTTTGGTTGAAGATGATGTGATTATAGCATTACATTGTTTGCTAAAAAACAATTTCTTGTAGGTGTAATTTTGAACAAGATTATATTTAGCTTCTTTGGTTATCTAACGTCACTATTAGGTGGTTGAAGGTTGTTGTTAGCCTTATAAAGTTTCATTCAAAATCAACTCAAAACATACCCCACCCATTCTGGGTTGCTCAGTGATACTCATCTCCACTCAGTGGCAGATCCATGATTTTAAATTCGAGGGTTCCATTAATAAAGGTAAAAAAATTTATAAACAAAATTAACATTGAAAAGTCAAATATAATACATTTAATTCAAAAATCATAAGCAAAACAACATTACAAGCTATAAAATCCTAATTTGAGCGTCCACGATAGGATTTCATAGTCTGAAAATGTTCTATGATAGCTTCACTACCAATACATAAAAAAAGATATTTCTCAATATAAATAACCAAGTTGTCACTCAACCATCTTTCTCAATGAACAAATAGATGGTGCTATTGACTTTAGCTTGAAAAATCTCTCCATATTTTTTTATTTCTAAACTACACATTTAACAAAACAAACACAAAACATATACCAATTCTTAAAAAGGGTCATATTTTCTTTCTTCTCCGAGTTCGGTCTAGGCAGACTAGGTGGATTTAAGTAAATTTATTATATACCTTTAGTATTTTGGTGAATTTAAGGTATAAGATAAAAGTTCAAATAATTACAAGTTCATAGTAATTTACATAATATTTTTAGAGATCATATTGATTTATATTGAATTTTAAGACAAATAAGTGTGTTAAATATGTGGGTGTAGAAAGCAAAATGAGGCACTGGACGCATAAAGAGGGCAACCACACCAATTAGCAAAAATACACCTAGGGACTAACAACCCATTTTCTTTTTTGGAAAGATCAACTTGATGCTAGCTGTCCAAACGTGATTGGACCAATTAAAAAATACATTAAATGTGAAAGTTTGAGGGTGGTCAGGTGAGAATGAAATGATGAGAGAGACTCATTTAATCATCTTCTTCCTCTTTTCGTCTTTGCAATAACATAACCACGAAACCCATAAATTACAGAACACATTGCACATACCTCGTGTTCGAGTACGAGGGGTCCCTGAAAAATTTCTAGCAACGATTTAGGGTCGTCGAGGGGTCCTGGGACCTCCCAGGTTCCTCTGTAGATCCGCCACTGTCTTCACTTGTAAGTGAATGATCTTTTGTACGATTCTCGTTAAAGATGAATTTGAACCATAATATTGCTAACCCATTGTGAGGCTAAGCACACTCCTTCTTCCGTAATGTAGACAATATTGTTTGTTAAAAGAAAATGGAATAAATTACTGAGAGATTATGTTTAATTATTTTGGTTGAAGATGATGTGATTATAGTGTACCATTGTTTGTTTAAAAATAATTTCTTGCAGATGTAATTTGAACGAGATTATATTTACCTTCTTTGGTTAGAGATGGTTTGTGTCATATCGATTCTAAAGTCCAAGCTCAAACGTTTGCATTGACGTTTTTACCAGACGCGTGCGCCACACAAGCCGAGATCCAAGAGTGGCACGACATATTCTGTTGCTTGAGTCCTACCACAATGGTTGTCAGGACACGTGTGCAAATCTTAGAAGCCTCTTCAAATTATCACACTTTAATTCAACGGTACTATTATTTTCCATAATAATGATTTAAAAAAAATTGAAAAAAAATCATAATAATAAGAAATAATAAAATTTCGAATAGGAATAATAATTCTAACTGTTACACCCGATAACCTGGATAACCGCCCGAATGGATTGGATTTATGTATGAAAATTCAGGTATATTTTGAGTATGGAGAAAAACCGTGAATATTATTCGGTTATGGTTTTGGATATGGTTACAGGGGTCCCCAATCTATATCCGTATCCGAATACGAACCGAATAATATATAATATAATTATACTTATATATATATATATATGTATTTCATTATTCACCAAATCTATTACCTTGATAGTACAAAAATTGCATTGTGTGAGTTTTATTTTGTGGCAAAGTTAAAAAGTTTTGATATGAATCAAAATCTATAAGAATTTAATAGTATTTATGCGAGATATCAAATATCAACCAACATTATCAATGTTTAGCTTTAATTTTTATGTTCCACAAGATCCATTAATTAAATCATTTTATACATCAAATATTTAATGACGAAATTAATATTTACTAAATTATCATTCGTTAATTGGGCGAATATATTTTTTGTATTAATGAAGATGAATATAACCTTTAATCGATGGGAAATCCGTTATCCGGTGGGTATAGTTATGGATAATACTGTGAACACGGAAAATTCCTGAAACGAAAGAGACAAGAAACGACGCGCACAAACAAATATTTGGTGTTTGATGATTTTGGGTTACAATCTCTCTCTATTTTGATCCTCTGATTCGATCTCCGTAAGGTGTTGATTTGTGGGATGTGTGATTGATCCAAGGGTCGTCGAGGCTTGATCTTGGATGAACGAGGATGAACGGATCTTCAAGGGCTTTTGGGCTTGATCTTGAAGAATGGTGATTGACGGATCTTCAAGGGCTTTTGGGCTTGATCTTGAAGAACAGTGATGAACGGATTTCCGAGGGCTTTTGGGCTTGAACTCGAAGAACAGTGACGAACGAATCTTCGAGAGCTTTTGGGCTTGAACGGATCTTCGAGGGCTTTTGGGCTTGATCTCGAAGAACAGTGATGAACGATGAACGCTTTCTTCGAGGGCCGTCGAGGCTTGGGCTTGATGAACAGCGGATGAGCGGATTCGTTGATGTTGTCGATCCAAAGGGGCCGTTGGGGCTTGATCCTTGAGGATGAACAGTTGATGAACGATGAACGATGAATGCTTTCTTCAAAGGGGCCGTTGAGGCTTGGGCTTGCAGGTGGATGATTGTTGATCCAAAGGGCCGTCGGGGCTTGATCTTGGAAGAACGATGAACGAAGAACGAAGAAGGCTTTCTTGATTCTTCGGGAAACCTGGATGCTTGAAAGCTTCGGAGTTTCAGAGCTTCAGAGCTTCAAGGTGTGATATGAATTAGGTCCCCTCAAAATGAATGAAATGGGCTTGTATTTATAGAATTTTCCAAGGCCTAATTTTGAATATAATATCCCAGATGAAATAAGTCGTTTCTGCCAGGTGTTGACACGTGTCCTATTTGATGACTTTTCCAACTCATTTCAATTTTCGTTGAGTCACACGCTACGTGTAAAATTTATGTAATACATGAGCGTTGACACTTTGATTTATCGGTCAACATTTATTTACCGAAATTTCGATGTCTACAAATGCCCCCACTTCAAGGCACGTCGTATACATGTGCTTGTCACGTGTAGGAGATGCGTTTTGAAGTCCCTTACTGTAGATGTCGATCCAAGGGCCGTCGAGGCTTGAATCTTGAATTGGGCTGGAGATTTCTTCAAGGGCCATTGAGGCTTGTTCTTGAACTTTCGTTTGAAATTTCTTCAAGGGCCGTTGAGGCTTGTTCTTGAACTTTTATTTGAAATTCCTTCAAGGGCCGTCGAGGCTTGATCTTGAAGGTTGAAATTGGACCACAAGGAGCTTCATGTGGTAGATGATCTTTGGCTTTGGTAGTGGGTGAATCGACACGTATTTTGTTGCGCTTGTTGACTTTCCACAGCTTTGATCTTGAACTGGGTTGAGGTTTCTGGATTTTCTGTTGATTTCCACAGCTTGTTCTTGATTTTTCACAGCTTTTGATTCTTGAACTAGGTTTTGATTCAAGGGTGGTAGACACTTAATCTTGAATCGGACTTGTGATTTCTTCCAGGGCCGTCGAGGCTTGATTTTGAATTTGGCTGGAAGCTTCTTCAAGGGCCGTTGAGGCTTGATTCTTGAAGGCTGACTCGAACACACGGCAAGCAGGCACGAGGTGAAGGTGACGACTTGTTGCTTTGTTCAATCTTTCTAATTCACACCTGAGTGGTTTGGTCAACGGTATGATCTTCGAGATTGATGGGCTCCTCTTCCAATTGGTGACTTGGTCTTTAAGGATTTGATTCAAGGGTGGTGAATCGGCACGTGCAGCCCACAACGCCTAGTAAGTCGACCCAAGAATTTGAGGGTCAAAACGAGTTCACCGTCCTCGGGCAGATGCGGCATCTTCTCGAGTTCTTCATCTTAGACTCTTTCTGCTGAGTTGACTGTGCGTGCTGCATTCTTCTCTGCTTGTTTCTTCAGGTAGATGTGGCAGCTTCTCGAGTTCCTCAGTTCGAACTCCTTCTGCTGAGTTGACCGTGCAGACCACATTCTTCTCTGCTTGTTCCTTCTGCACCTTGTCTCCACATGCTGCAAGGTATCATTTTCACTTGCCTTATCTGTCCTCCAAGCAGATATGGCAGCTTCTTTGAAAGTACAGCAGCAGTGGGAGGCG